TAAATTATCAATTAGGCATTCATTAACTTATCCAGACCAGACCATAATAAACTCTCGATGTCAAGGCTAGCCTTCGATGTTGGCTGGATTAGATTCCTATATGCCGCTTAACGGCCATAGATAATTAAATAAAAACAGTGGATAATCGAGACTATGCTGTTTATATTAATGATTTTAGTAATGATGTCCGAGACTATGCGAAAATTTCACCCGCTTCGTTCTCGGCTCATAGTGGATCAATTTGACTGAAAATTTCAGCAAATTACTTTTACACTATCTAGTTTTTAACTATTATAGCGAGTACTGCCATCTCTTTATCTTATCTCCCATAATGTATCTTTAAATTTAAGGGTGATTAGACCTATGACGTTGTATATGTCCCTCGGACTGATAACATATGATATAATTAATATAACAGTACTGCAGCACAAGCGAGGAGCCTAAAATGGTTTGGGATCAGTATCTAATACTTGTAGAACAAGAGAGTTTTGCGCGTAGGGGTCATTCACAGTGGGAGGAAACCGGGGGACCCGGGGAAACCCACGAGGTTGGGCAGGCGACCCTACTCCTTGTCACGTACAACCAGGCAATCGAAACCACGCCAGTTGACTCAATGATTTACCTTTTGATAGAGCGCGCACGTGTTAACAATTCGGCCACCCCTTTAAACCTATATATATATATATATATATAAATACATATTAATAATTAAATCAGAGGTCGATATCAAATATTTGTTCAAATGATTTTATATAATATGCACATAGAAGAACACACCCTCGGCATTTAAAGCGTTGAAGTGGTTCACAAGATTTATCGTATAATAAAATATAAAATATTTATTCTGTAATATATCAGTGTTCAGATGACAGTCATTTAGAGTAATCATGCCGGGAGATTATCGAGCGGGGATATTTTGATTTTGTTTTCTTAATTAAATGTTAAAGATAAAGAGCTAGCCATTCTTGTTATAATAGTTACAAAATAGATATTGCAAAATGAGTATCTTGAAAATTACATTCCAATTATTCTATTGTCAGCGAATATATTAGCCTTGGAAGGTTTGATAAGATGTGTGCATTAATTGCAACCACCGTACTGGTCGTTCGAAGCTAAGCCTCTCTTCGCCATTTTCAAATTAAATCAAAATATGGCTGAACCGTTCTAATCTACTTAACATCGGGGATATCCGATGGCATCGAGAATTGATTATGGTCGTGTCATGTTAATAAATGTCTAATTAATAGTTTATATAACATTTCAGACCTAAAGAAAGACGTGCAATAGGCAAATTTAACTCTTGCATAATGTAATAAACAATCGACGTACATATTAACGTGGGTGAAATCGTGATAAAGTTGATATACTTCAGCCAAATGTAAACCACGTACCGTGACTTTAATATAAAAATACATACCCCACAGTAGTCCTTCCCATTATTGTCAACCTTTATGAGAAACAGTAAACTGATATCTTTACCAACAAAAGATAATTGTCTAGCGTCAATTCAACAAACCGCGTCATTTTTTATACCAGTATACGGTATACTATTTTTATTTCGATAACAAAACGTGTCAAGAAAACTAAGGCAAGGTTTACATATGTTTTTATGTCTGACTCTTCGGGATACATGCTTCTACACTGCTACCATGTATCCGCCATATTGTTTTAAATTTGAGGGTGATACGTGAAATATTTCTTTCCGCGGCAGAGTCATTTTATAAGGATCTTATGAAAACATATGAATGCAATTAGTAATAGCTTTTCTGATGACCTATAATTTGGGAAATTTTCCTTTTGTTGCCTGACAGTGTGGGCATATAAAAACCAGATATCACTAATTCATATTTACACCACTTGTTTAAATCGGGTTGGAATATCTCCTCGACTCCACAAGGACTGTCTCTATCTTCTTCTTATCGATCTTTTACAAACAAAAAGAAGAAAAGAGATAGCACCGGGCGTTCAATATTCTAAATACAATTTTCGGCAGAATTAAAGCTCTATTTGTGTCAATAAATTTAGATGTAGAGACCACTCGCCTTAGAAAAGACGCCCTGTGATATTATTAGAACAGACTGGACAAAACAAAAGCAGATAAATCAAGTCCTAACATATCGGAATTTGATGCGCTTTTCGTTGGATCATCTAAAATTTAGTATCTTTACTTAACAGGTTTTCAGAGGTTCAAAGACACGATATGAAATTTACAGTAGACAAATACCGTTCACAAGGCAATTTGTTCCGTGTGTTCACATACCAGACAACATGAAGCATCCTAGCTTTAGAGACCACTAGAGATCACTTGGCCATCAAGCACACCACGTGGACGTATAAAAACAAGATCATTTCTATACACTTGTAGTAACCCTGTTGTAATCTTTCTCGACCCCAGGACTGTCTTTATCATAGTCGAACTTTTACAATTAAAAGTTAAAGGTGCAATATTCCAGTCTAAGATCAAATATATGTTCAGATAGTCAATATAAAAATTATCTTAAATGATCCATAGGTTATTTTAAACATAGCCTACATTATGCAAGAGTTAAATCTGCCAATTGCACGTCTTTCTTTAGTTACTTATGTTAGTATAAATTTGCTCAGTTTTTAAGATACACCAGTTAAGCTTATGCGAGAAGGACTTTCTCTATCTCTAGTACTTTAGATCTAAATCAAGTTCAAACTATGTTATAGTGAGTCATTTGCACACGTTCTTATAATTTCGTATAATTCATTCTGCACACAGAGAGCCATCTACTTCATACTTTGAGAACAGACCTCTGTCCTAAATGGTCGCCATATCCAAAAATTACTATATTGTAGCATACACACAAAGACTAAATACACCTATTCAATTCCATTAAATGGAAGCAGAATAAATAATTAACAAAATTCTCGAAGTATATTAAAAGTTTTCGACTAGCTTAGTGTCTGTTCTCAAGCGGAGCTAGTTGTAGACAGACAGCCTAAGTTTAGTATGGTTAGAATCTTGTGCACGTTCTGGCCAGATGACCATATTAATATAAATATTTCTGTTACTGGCAGTGTCTGGCTCATTAGCCCTCTCAAACCAGACAGATGATACACCGGCGTACGCCTTAACCAATAAATACAACGTCGTTCAATTTATTTCAATGTTAGATATATATCTAGCGCGCACTGCTCAGTTACCCAGATATGGACTAACGCTAATATCTATTTTGAATTTTTATCCCTTACGGTGCTCCGTACATTTAAACATAGGAACAAATTTAACGCATAATTACCTGTCAATTTAACATTCAGGCAAGGAGGAAAAAAGACAGGGGTGTGTATAAAGAGGTGTCAGAATGAAATGAAGTCTATTGGTCGAACTCGTTCGGTATTTGCATTAAAATTAACCAAATTGCACCCAGCTCGATTTAATTCATAACATAAGTCTATTTATCGAACTTTTTTTGGTATTTGCATTCAAATTCATTCAATTGCATCCAGCTCGATTTAATTCATAACATAATCAAAGTTTGACAAAGATTGGTGCCAAATTCATTGTCACGCATGAATAAATCATATATTCCTTGGTGGTCACGATGGCTAAGTGGGTAAGACGCTGGCCCACTATCCTGGAGTTCGGGTGTTCGATCCCTGCATTGGCCGAAAAAGTTCATCCAGATTTTCCGGCGTGGTTTTCCCTGGTCAGTGATCCGGGATGGAGGGCCTGACAAGGACAGCTGTCTAGTCGTTCGGATGGGACGAAAAACCGAGGTCCCGTGTACACATTGGTGTGCACGTAAAAGATCTCCTGACAGTTGGAATTCGATATAAGAGTAGGCCGTAGTGCCGCTGTCCAGGCAAAATTTCCCACATAGCACACTGTATGGCGTATGCCCGTCTTCATTAGCCCAGTTCGGAGCAGAACAGTAGGACGTTAAACCCCATTTCAATTAATTTCATTTCATATATCCCAACATAACATACCACGTGACTGAAGGGAATTCCCCACACAATTGAATCCGCATGTTTGTAGCGGAACGGACCAAGGTAAAGTCAAATCTACAATATACCAAAGCTTAGTTGTTTTCTGGTATTATTCAACTACAATAGGCATTTTGGTGTGGGGTTGGGATGCCGATGCACCCTGCAAGAGCCGTATGCACCTCGAGCAACTTGGGTGGGGGGAGGTAACCTCCACGAGCAATTTTTTTTAATATTGGCTACGCCACTGGCATCGTCTATCCTATCGAGAGGTTCGTTGAATCGAATACATAATAATGTCAGCAGAGTACACTTAGCACACATTCTCCAACAGACGTTCAGGGGTCCTGGGGCGTTGCATAGCCCAAACGACATCATATTAAGTTGTTGTAATCCGTCCTAAAAGTGGTTCTATGTTTGTCATTTTCACCCATTTTTCAACCTGCCATTATCCATTGTTGATAGCCACTCCTGAATGAATCGGGGACGTAGGTAGGCGTTGTTTACGGTACTTTGTAGGTGTCGTGTACGGTAATTCATTTTAAATTGAGTCTCCTAATTGTTTCATAACCTTCAGTGATAATGCAGAAAGCTTTAATCTGGCTATATTATCGATAACGTAAGCTATATATAGAGATGTCCGACTTATATCATATAGGTTGATGTAATCCGTCCTGAAAGCGGTTCTATGTTTGTCATGTGCACATGTGCACCTGTCATTATTTTATTCACTCTGGACAATGAGTCAAATGTGTCATTAATGCGACAAAATGCGTAGGCCTTGTTTGCGGTAATTTGTAGGTGTCGTTTATGGTAATTCGTTTTAAATTGAGTTCCCTGATTGTTTCATAACTCTCAGTGATTTACATAGAACCGTGGTAGAATTGTAATGAATAGATGCATTGTTGTAAACAACAATAACATTTTTTAATTTGTTTTATTTATATATTTAAATATTGTAGATTAGAAAATATTAAAATATTACTGTATTAGACCTACCGTGAACATAACAATAAACAAACAATGTATCTTTACACTATTATATATGTACAATGATTTTAGGAAACTACTATATTAATCATACATGTATATACATTTACTAATCTGTTACTATGGAGATTGTTTGTAAGGGGGAGGGGTGTTGTCAATAGGTTGACAACAGTGTACTTAAATATATAAAAGCAACTTTTGTGACGCACTTTTTAGACATAGTTTCGAATCCGTACACAAGACCCAATGCTCGTATTTTGGATTACAATTGTTTGTGTTTGGGCAATTACGGATTCATAGGCGTTATCATATTATCCACAGAACAGAAATCATGCTTGTGTTTTCTCGAATGGAACCTATACATCATTTTGGGCTTCAGCCGCGTTGTCGTAAACAGCTTTCTCCGTGTCTTCAAAAGGAACATATAAATCATTTTCTATTATTTCCATTTCAGATATAGAAACGTTTTCTTTTGTCCGGCTTTCCATGTCGGGTGTAGCAACGTTTTGCTTTGTCCCGTAGTCGGATGCATTATCATATACACTACTTGTCATAGGTTTTGAAACCTCAACAACATTCTCCATGATTTCCATATCTCCTAATGGTCGATGTTGTAGTATATTATTATTGCTTGTAGACACGACAGCACCAGTGTCATCTGGATTGTTATATGCTTCGTATGGTATGTACAGTTCATTCTCTAGTATTTCCATATCTCCTGATGGTCTTTGTTGTGGTATATTATTGGTTGCACACGCCACAGCACCAGTGTCATCTAGATTGTTATATGCTTCGTAAGGTATGTACAGTTCGTTCTCGAGTATTTCCATATCTCTTGATGGTCGGTTTTGTGGTATATTATTGGTTGCACACGCCACGGCGCCAGTGTCATCTAGATTGTTAGATGCTTCGTAAGGTATGTACAGTTCATTCTCGAGTATTTCCATATCTCTTGATGGTCGGTGTTGTGGTATATTATTGCTTGTAGACTCCACAGCACTGGTGTCATCTGGATTTTGATATGCCTCGAATGGTATGTACAGTTCGTTCTCTAGTATTTCCATATCTCCAGATGGTCGATGTTGTGGCATATTATTGGTTGTAGAAGCTGCAGTAGCAGTGTCATCTGGATTGTTTGGTGCCTCGTAGGGTATATAGAGTTCGTTCTCTAGTATTTCCATATCTGACACACCAGTTGCATTGCTCTTTGTTGCTTGATTAGGTGGATTCATTTCAGTCACATTAAACCTTCTTCCGGTCTTATTCACAACGGCATATTCTGGTGTATGACCTGCTGTCATGTTCGATGAATTGATATTAATATTATCATGTTTAACATCCTCATCCTGGCTATTCAAACTTTCTAGTACGAAGTAATTTGGAGTAGTATTGTTAACAGTATTGTTAATATGCACGTGGACATTCTGTTGTAAAACATTAGCTTTCCTTCTTCGTACTCTGAAATAGATATTCATACAATTATTTACAATAGAATTTGAAGGATTTAAAATATTAATATTAATCCGTTTGTAAACATTTTGTAATTTTCTGCTACATAAATGTCTCTTCCTGATTCATCGTTTAATTCTAACTTACACGATGACAATAGATAACAATACATAGCATTTTGCGAAACATTTTAGTAAATCTACTGAAAGCAATAAACGCATCCAATATTGACACCTATTTAATATCCCGTCAGTATGTTTTGCGGGAGATATTTTAAAAATGTATCTCACCTTAATAAAACACAGACAGTTACTAGTATGAATATCAACACCAGTCCACCAACAACACAACCAACTATCAACAATAAATCTGAATAGAAGAACAATTCCAAGTATCACAAATACATCCAAATGAAAAAAACATTATGGGGAAGTTCAACCAATTGATTCAACACGGTCAAATACATTTTATCAAATTACGAAGCATACTATTTTAAAATCCGCAATTTTAAACTAAACAGTACTAATTCAAAGGATGAAAACCCCTCACAATCAACAACCAATATACAACGCTCTGGAAACCTTGAAAGCAACAGCTATCAAAATTCACAATAAATTAGAATAAATAGTAAACCTCCGTTAATGTTACTATACTGGCTTGTGAAATTAATAAATCAGTTATTATTGGAGGGGGGGGGGTAGTATACGGGCTGTAAATTGAGCCATGTTTCTTATTGTTAAGTATTTGTTTAGATTAAGAAACGGTTTCGGGCGAATTATTGGGCCCAGTTTAACTTTATTTTTCAAAAGCGATTTTGCAGTTTTCTATATTGCAAGCAGTAATGCGACGATTATCAAATATAGTGGTTGTCATCTTACTTTCAATTCATCAGTTTTCTTTTCTGGGTTGTGTCAGTTAACTTGACAGAGTAAAAATAGCAATAGCCATGTTGGTCACATGGCCGATATCGTTAGTAAAATTGAATGTTATTGGTGATAAAAGGGACTCTGAGTTTTCAATCATTTGGACATAAGATAAGCCTTCTTTAATTTTGTTATATCCAGTTAACCGTACCGTTGTTTGTTGGTTTTGCTGCTGCAATATCTGTTGGACTGGTTGCTGTTCTTGATGTTGAACCAGGTGATATTTCAGATGAAATGCTGGGATCTGCTGTAGTGTTTGAATCAGTGTTATTTGAAGTACTGGGATAGGTTGTAATGCTGGAATCTGTGTTATTTGCTGTAGAGTTATGGATGGTTACACTGGTAGAAAAATCATTCTCTGTAGAATATGAACCTGTACTAGTAGAACTATCTGGTGACAGAGGACTGGATGAGGAAATAATTGGTGTGATGGTTCTTTGTGAAACATCTGTAGAATTTATATTACAAGAACCTGTCAACGATATACCTAAAACGAAGTTGAAAAGAATCAACTTGCATCCATCTACACAACACATGAATCGCTTATATACTTTTACTTTATGGTATACCTGTGAAGGGTGTTAGACGATATCAGATGCAACGTCTAACGTTTCTATCTAGTCACTTTTATGTATAGGATATTAACCTACCCGGGGTGGATATATCAATCCGAGGGAGAGAAGGTTTATATCCGACATATACAACGTCATAGTTTTAATCACCCTTAAATTAAATGGACTCTTCTATTAAAAGTCAACAATGATTGGATAATTGCTCGCTAGTTTCCGCCAAATAACGAAAATTACCGAATTAATCACGTGGATGCATTGTTTATACTGTCGCCATTTTGGGGTGTACATAGGTGCAATTGAATTGAAAGCAAAAACAAAATGGTTAGTAATATGTTATCAGACGAATAATCAATTCTTTTTAGACAACAGATTGACGGTGGAATAGATGTGAATGCAAATTCCGATGAGGATCTACTGCTAGTCAAAGGCTGAAGAAAATTTGGATTATGCGATGACAGGTTGATATGAGATATAACTGCTATGCACATCAAAGGAAAAACTACCGTCAGTTGTATATACCTTAAGATGCATTACACAGCTGAACCCAAAAAACAAACAAGGACTTGCTGTTTCTTTGCGAATTACTTGTTTGTAGTTGTTAGGCATAACATTTGATAACGAGGTTTCAATATTTACCTTGTATTTCAATCCATAGTTTTAGACCATTTATTTGTTGATGAGTAAATATAATATCAGCTGTTGATATTCTTCTTGTTGTTTGTAGTCTGTGATTGTGTAAAGTAGATTGAGAGTTTTCTCTACTTGTTTTATTATAAGTTATATCACCATATTGTATAAATAAATTAGATCTTACTCCTTTACTAACAGTTCTTAATACAAGATCTAATATAGTTATAGATGTTATGTTTGTGCCACGTATATCACATTTACAAGTTGGTTCATCTGATTTAAGGCCACTCGTTGCTGTTGGATAATTTGGTGAAAATAGAAATATTCTGACTGGATCTTCTTTTAAAATAAATTTGCTTTGACACATATCCTGACCATTTTCTCCTGTAATAGAAAACATCATATACTGAGGAGTACAATTTCATCATTCGTAACTTTCTAGGTGCTTCTAGATGACATACTGAGAGCAAATAATTTATCATGGACATATTCATCAGTTTGATTATGATATAAGCTATCTATTTCCAGAAGTTGCTAAATTGGCCAAGTTTTTGATACGAGCCACCAGCGTATCATCTGAGTGGGTGTGTGTCGCGGTAGGTTACGGTCCTGCTAATCATCGACAATTTCATTTTGTATCTTGATCCTTGTTTCCTCATTGGTGAGAATAGAATGGTTGGTGGAGACATGCATAGACTTCTACAAGCCGCATACTTTCCTCAATTTACATTCAATTCATTTTTTATGTGAGTCACGCGACTTATTTATTTGTCACATGTTTATTTTGTGTATATTTTGATCAAACATATCTTTCCTTGTCGATCATTTGTTTTTTTGCAACACTGCGAGCTCTTCTGACAAAACAAGTCGCTCTTGTCGGTTCTTAGTAGGACCCGCGGGTTTATTTATGACAGATAATAGAAACAGGCTAAAACCAGGCAATGTACGAATGTTACACGTCTTTCTAAATATCGTATTAAAGATGGTTGAGAATTAATACATATTAATTATATGTTCTGGTTTCTCGTATTTTTATAGCAACTATTCGAATATTTGCTTGATATTTACCGACTATTCGAGTAGTGATTTAGTTCGAAAGCAGAACACTAATAAGCGCACAAAGTCAGTGTCTAAATATACACAGCAAAAAAAGTTAACCACCCCCCTGATTTTTCACACAGGGATGAACTTCATGGGAGTATGGTATGAAACTGAGAAAAAGAAGATAAGCAAAACAAATTTTAAATAAAAGAACAATCATTTGGTCATTTGGAAGTGAAGTTTTGTAACGGCATGTCAAGCTAGGCGGAGGACTGGGAAGTTCTAACTAGCTTAGTTTTCAAAAGTCGTTGTAACTCACCGCTGTGGAAAGTTTTAATATTTATTTCTCGAGAAATAACCCTAATGTATTGTAAACAAAACTGCCACACTCCAATTTATGTGCCAGAAACGTTTTAAACCAATAATCTAAACGACAGCATTTTTTGTCCTCGCAATAATAAAAGTAGTGAGACGGCGAGCTTTCAGCCAATGAAAATCTAGTAAATAGCGAATAACAGTAAATACACGTGACCTTAAGGAGAATTTAATAGATCAATGTCGTTGTTTTGCTATAATATAATTAGTTCGATTTTTTTTAGCCAAACTCGTTGTAAATCATATTTCTAATGAAAAGAAAGTGCGCACTATTAATACTGGTATTTACCGGTGTCGGCTAAAATGTAATAAGTGAATAAATGTGAAAGATTTAGGTCAGCGATGACTCATAGTCATTGGGTAGAGGTGTCCAACTGACAGCTGCTTACCACTTGACGATTATGTCACATGTGCCGTGTTTTCGGACCCTCCACCCCATCAGACGGAAAGTTTTCCCCGATGCCAGACAAGCTTTACCCCTCTTACCCGGTAATACCTGACGGGCTTGTCCTCTCTCAACAAATTTTAGGCTGTTTGTAGCCTGTGTAAATGTGATGAATCAATTTATTATTCTTAAGAAAGTAGGCCTACACGACACTGTGGAATTAATTTTTGCATGCATCGTGTTTAACGTCCCACCACAGCTCCGAGTATTACTATTAAGATAATTTGAGAAGGGTTGGAAATGTTGTTTGATAGCAATGATATAGGCCTATATATACTCGAATATAAATATAGATAATTGCCAAATATCAAAATCAATCAAGGTGTGTGAAGCTATATTTTATTAGAGGCTCTCTTCCTACTGTAGTCTTTGCGTGTGTAGACATACATACTTTGCATTGTCGAATTCACCCTAATATTAACTGGTTAGAATAGATCCCCTAAGCCCACCCTTCCTCATCTCTAATAAATTCGACACTGTAGCATCCAAATAATATAACTATGCATAAATCAAAGGCAAGGCCCAGCACTCCCCCCCCCCTCATACACTGCTTAATCCCCGAACCCTCCATATAAGGTTGGAAATACCTTATATACCCACAAAAGCACCTCTAATAAGGTTTGACAATGTAATAACAATTAACTGATGTTTTGTGGACAGTTATTTGTGTTTGCTAAATTATGACTTTTTGAAATTAATGCATAGGTATAATACAGGTTGTGTTCTAACAACTGGCTAAAATGCCCCTTGTTTGTTCATTCCCCTATTTTAAAAAATATATATAGACTACTTGGTCTTGCTCAAAGGAGCGGTCTATGGGAGTTTTAAAAATAAATTATTTTTTTTAACATTATTTATTAAAGATAATTGGATAATAGAGCAGGCAACCCCACTCTCCAAAAAAAAAAATACAAACAGATATAAATATTACAATCAAAACATAATGAAATTACAATAATAAATCAAATACATAAATAAACACATATATATATTACATACACTCACACACACATGTACACACTACACATACACTAATTCATTGATAATTAACATCAAACAACTGAGAAAAAATGTACCATAATAGACTAAAATAAATATGTATGCTGCACATGTCTGATATATAAAGAAATAGTTAAGATTTTTAATACATGTAGTTCAAAATTTAAACATTAAAGTAGCTAAGTCTCTAACTCAATATCATCCAAAATCTTCAACATTGAAAACACGATTTATTTGTCAAATTAAATCAACATTCATGTTGTGATTGTACAGGAAAAAGATGGGCTTTTGATATCAAATATTTAAGACAAAAACATTTTACCATTTGTACACGAATCGTGTACCATAATGCGCTTCAGTCCCAGTTGTATCAAGAGACTCGAGAGACGAGGCTAGACACATTGCACCAAATCAAACGGCGTATATAGACTGGAATAACCAGACGCTAGAAATTTGCACTCGATTGAGATTGCTGACTTATTTCGCCCGAACATTACTGATTTGAAATTGGAGTAAAAATGGAAACCATTAAATGTAAATCAGTTTATATACATTCATACTACAGTATTATATGCGTTGCGACCCACTTTTGTCAATTTCTAGGTCTCAAGTGTTAGCGATTTAGCTCCTTTAAATATTACTGTAATGACTTTAATTGACAAAAGTTCTGATTTTAATGAAAATGAATATGGAAAAAAACAGTATGTACAAGCTCTGTTGATAAGATATGAATTTATAGGCTTGAATCAGCATACAATAGGTATGTAAAAACATATATACAAAGTCATTTTAAAATTTAATAAAAACATGTTGATTTTGATTTTATAATTATACTAAATCATTCATGGACTAAAGTGTACAAAATATGCATAATGAATTTGTTATGGTTAATATATGTTATAGCGAGTTCAATGATAGGTTCAATATTAACAAAGATTACTTGAATTGTAAAACTGTTCAAAATTTAAACTCGACTAATGATACAGATTTAAAACATTAGTTTTACTATAAGATAAAACAAAATTATAATCCGATGGAATAACTTGATTTTAAAAGCCCAGGAAAGAGCAGCAACTTTACAGGAAAATCTTTTTGATTCACCTTTGAAGCTTCTTCCTTTGTTCCTAAAGAAAATAGGAAATATGATAGAAAAAACATAATTGTATGTCACATGTGTGAATTTTTTTTTGAGCAATGCAATCTCTAAATGAAATCAAAATCTAAAATTGCTTATTTAAATAGCATTTCCGCCTGTAGGATCAATAATCTTTGCAGATCTTTTTACGGCTTAGACTAACTAAGACTAAGAAAATAATAATAATAAAATAAACTAATAATAACATACAAACATACCTTCGAACACATCTCGATACGTGATTGCA